GTGAAATAAAAGACCCCTAACTAGGACCTTCGCTGCCCTGCTGACTTGGGGGGCGTTGCTCCACAAGCTCCCCTCCCACTGCCCTCACACCCTCCTTCCTCTCTGAGATACATCAGTTTTCCCATGGGGGGGGCACCAAAGAGAGGACAAAAATTGAACAGCGTCTTTATTTTCAGCATGGTCTCCTGTCCCACCTCTGCTCAACCTCTGGCTCCAGCATCTCAAACCCTTGGAGAAATGAAAAGCAGCTTCTCCTTGCACATGATCTGGGGCCCCTCACCCATGTAGCCTTAACGGAGCTGAGAGGTAGAGCCCATAAGGCTTTGGAAACGGTAAAGTTGAATATATATGCTTCATGCTCTGTGACCTGGCACCACCTGTTCTGAAAAGTTGATGACTAAAAAAATCACAAACTATTTAAGCAAACAGTAAGGACTTTTGTTGTTGTCATTGGTATGGAAAGGATGGAGGAAAAATTCATCTGAGAAGGAAGAAGACTCTTTTATTTGGGGAAAACACTCTGAGGGGCTTTTGGTCGTTTGAAAATGAAGCCAACTTCCTACTCTGGAATGGAGACATTGGGAATAGTGAGGATTTAATTGTGCTGCTTAATTTTCTTTTTTTTTTTTTTAAATATATATATTTTTTAAGATTTTATTTATTTATTCATGAGAGACAGAGGGAGAGAGAGAAAGAAGCAGAGGGAGAAGCAGGCTCCCAAGGAGCAAGGAGCCCGATGCAGGACTCGATCCCAGGACCCCGGGATCATGACCTGAGCCGAAGGCAGATGCTTAACCATCTGAGCCACCCAGGCGCCCCTGTGCTGCTTAATTTTCTAAAAGAATGTCTTCATAGAGGGGCAGCTCATTGCTGGGGATCATTCTCTTTCTGGGGGAAGCCAAGAGTTGGGGAGGGGCGCAGGAGGGCTGGGCCGAGGGAAGAGATGCAAGATCAATGGTGCCCCATGTGGGAGCAGATCCCTGCAACATGAGGGAAGGAGGGATATAGCAAAGGAGAAAAATGGTCCCTAACAGGTTCCCATGGAGCTTGGAAGGTGATAGAATATATGAACAGGGTGGCTCACATCCTGCTTGATCTTTGCCTTTGTCTGCATTGTAATTCCCATCTGTTATCCCCATGCCTTCATTTTAAAACAATCACTTGTCTTAGCTGGCACTAGAGAACTGAAAGAAAGGCAGGTGACCCCAATGAGATCCAGAGGTTTGTGCAAGAAGACCCGCAGCAGCCCAAAGAAGCTTCTGGAGCAAGGGTGAAAAGGGAGCTGAGAAGCCCAGAGCAGCTGTCTGCAGTGGGGTGGATGTCTGAGATGAAGAGCATGCCTGGGATCAACATGGACAAAATTTAAGATTCTTTGGGGCTCTGCAGAGGCCCAGGAATGGAAACTGGTAAAACCCTGGCCCACTGGCTAATCTAGGCTAGTAAGGGCTCAGACTTTGGGGTGCCAGTGTGAATACCATTTTTGGTAGCCCAGCATGTCAGAGCAGGATCTAACAATCATATACGGTGTCATCATTCAATCATGGGTTCTTTCTTCCTCTGACATTTACTGAGTGACTATGAAGCAGAAAGCCAAGTCAGGTACTGTGGGAGACCACAAAGATGAACGAGAAATGCAAGCCCTGCCTTTAAATAGCTTCTAGGCTCTTGGGACCAGCCAGTCACACATACAAGAAACTAAATGGGGGACACATCAATGTGAGAAGGAAAAACTGCTGAAAGAAGGATGTTTTAAAACTGTTTGGATCCAGGGGCGCCTGGGTGGCTCAGTCAGTGAAGCGTCTGCCTTTAGCTCAGGTCATGGTCTCAGGGTCCTGGGATCGAGCCCTGCGTCAGGCTCTCTGCTCAGGGAGTAGTCTGCTTCTCCCTCTCCCTCTCCCTCTCCCCCTGTGCTTTCCCTCTCTCCCTCAAATAAATAAATAAATAAATAAATAAATAAATAAATAAATAAATAAAATTTTTTAAAAAAAAACAAAAAAACCCTGTTTGGATCCGGTGTTGGCAAAAATCTAGAAACCACCAGTTTCAGTCACTGTGGAGGGAGTGTAAACTAGCACAGGCTTTCTGGAAGGCAATTTGGCAAAACATACCAAATAGTTTCACTTCTGGAAAGATGCCCTGAAGATATGGATAAAAATGTGTAAATATTGGCTACAAGGATGTATAAAGATCATAATATGAGGAAAAATTTGAGACAACACAAACCTCCACCAACAGCAGATTGGTTAAGTACATTCTGGAACAACACTGCAGATGTGTTCCTGTCAACAATGCGGAATCCAAATCTAGTCATGAGGAAATACCAGACAAGCAAACTGAGGGACATCCAACCAAAGAGCCAGCCTGTGTTCTTCAACACTATGAAGGTCAGGGAAGATAAAGAAAGACTGAGGAACTGTTCCAGATTAAAAGAAACTAAAAAGACCAGACAACCAAATTCGAAGTGTGATTTTGGATTGGATCATGGAGGGGCGGGGAAGACTGTGTGGCTAGCTACAAAGGACATTGTTGGGACAACTGATGACATTTGAATATGGTCTGGGGATTAGGTAATAGTGTGTCGATGTAAACATCCCTGATTTTGATCATTGTAACACGGTGATTACTAAGAGAATGTCCTTGTTTTTAGCAAATCCATTCTCAAGTAATGAGGGGCATTAGAAAAATGGAGTCAACAGTCATTCAATCTGCAAACTAGCACAACCACCAGAAATGATGGAGACACAACGCATGATTCAAATAGTAGCTCCAGGCAATGGCAGAAAAAGGTTTGTGATGAAACACACAGGATTTATTGCCAAAAGAATTATGTTGATGATGGCTGCCAGAGGCATTTAGGGGAAAGAAGTATTAGCTGAGGAGGTCAGAAGTACCTATGTATGTGAGTTTTTAGCCACGTTCTTCTAAACTGGTGAGGAGTCTGCCATGTGCCAGGCACTGTGCTAGGTGCTGAGGATAGAGTAATGAACAAGATGGAAGTGGCCTTCGCCCTATTGGGGCTTCTGCTCCAGAGGGGAGCAGGACAAATACCCAACAAACAAAAAGATAAAATAATGGTAAATTTAAGTTTCTGAACAAAGGATACAAACAAGGGCCAAGACAGAGTAACACACACAGGGGCGCCTGGGTGGCTCAGGCAGTTAAGCAGTTAAGCGTCTGTCTTTGGCTCAGGTCAAGATCCCAGGGTCCTGGGATCCAGTCCCCTCATCAGGCTCTCTGCTCGGCGTGGAGCCTGCTTCTCTCTCTCCCTCTGTCTGCCACTCCCCCTCCTTGTGCTCATGCTCTCTCTCTCTCTGTCAAATGAATAAATAAAATCAAAAAAAAAAAAAGAACGAATAACACACATAGTCTTTAAGGAAGTCCTCTTGGTGAGGATGATAGCTAAACTGTGACCTAAGTAAGGAAAAGGAGCTAGCCAGATGTGAGTGGCACGCATTCCCGCCAAAGAGCACAGCCCATGCCAGGGGGCAGGGTGGGTGTTGGGGGAAGGAGGAGTAGACCAATATGGCTGGAGCAGGAATGGGGTAGGAGGAGCCCAAAGTGAGTTTTCTGAAAGGAGGCAGGGGCTCAAACTGTGTAGGAACCTTGTGCAAATTTGGGTTTTACTCTAATGCAGTGGAGAGCCGCCGGGAAGTTCTAAGTAGGCAATGAAATGACCCGGTTGGTATTTGAAGAAGAGCCACTGTTGCCGCCGAATGGAGACTAAATGGCAAAGAGGCTGAGAGCGAGGGCAGAAAGATCGGTTAGGAGGCCTCGGGGAAGGGGCGAGGGTGAGGGAGGCAGACAGGGCAGGCCTCATGATTAGACTTCTGCAATGTCTCCAAACCCAGTTCCATTTAGCACTATAGAGAGGAGCTGATGACATTCATCCTTTACCTTTCAACCTGGTTTCCGTGACCAGCACTCCTGGCCTGGAACATATTCGGAATAAATGTTTCCACCTAAATCCTAGAACCAGCCTGGGGATAGCATTTTGTGTTACAATTTTTGTCGTGCTGTGTCCTAGTTTGGATTCTCCTAGACCCTGAGATAACGGTTCACATGTGGGAGGTGCAGGAAGTGCAGGCAAGGGAGGGGGACGTAACTTCCATGGGCAGCTAGAGCTAGAACTTAATCCTTCCAAATACGCTCCAGGCCAGGAGTGCTGGTCACTGTGGGAAACACAGCTCAACTCAGCCACCCAAGTGACGGGGGAGCTGGGATATCTCTACACCAGATCCCTTCCCTGGGGCATTTGCAGGGCTGACGGGCAGGGGGTTAATAATGCTCTCTCATTTCTGCCTTTCTGCAGGATGGGCACACTGCCTCCCCCAATTCTGAAGAGAGGCCTCAGCACAGAAATGTGAGTGTTAACAGCTGGAAACCTCTGGAGCCCAAGAAGTGGCAGGGTCTGAGGCATACCAGAGACCCATAACAGAATGGCCTGGACTCAGTGTTGTGTTTTCTTTCACTTTTGAAATCGGGCTCAGATGATGAAAGGGACTAAGCCTCTTGGACCATCAAGAGCCCCTAAGAAGCTGGGAGAGAATCCCAGGGAGAACAGATGGAGGCTTGGATGGAGGAGGCAGTCGTGGAGGCAGAGAGAAGTCAGTGTCTCCTTCAGGTGCTGGTTGGGGGGTGGGGAAGGCAGCAAGGAATAGATCCGAGGAGGGAAAACAAGAGTTTGGTTTCGTGTTTGTTAAGTGTGCAGGTTGGAAGGGACATCGGAGGGCAGATGTTTGTCAGCAGGATGGGAGACGCCGCTCCAAAAAGGAGATATAGGTGGCCAGGGTTGGGGCGGGGGAGAGCATGGAGGATGTTCAGGGAGCAAAACTATTCCAGTAAAACTATTCACGGAAGTGTGTCCTTACATATTTGTCCAGACCCATGGAATATACAACATCATGAGTAAACGCTAATGTAAATGATGGCCTTGGGTGATAATGACGAATCAGTGTAGGTTCATGTGCTATAACAAACATACCACCTGCTGCAGGCTGTCCATGGCAGGTAGGCTGTGTGGGTGTGGGGTCGGCGCACAGATGGCTACTCTCGGAAAATTCACGCAATTTTGCTGTGAACCTAAAACTGCTCTAAAAAATAAAATCTCTTTTTAAAAAGTTGGGGGTCGGGGAATAGGGGAAGGATAGGCAACAAAGACAAGGAGGGGAAAGGTGCAGAAGAAAGCAAAGATGCTAGGGAGAGGGCAAAGGAGGCAGGTGCCCAGGACAAGCGAACACTACCTAACCACAGGCCTCCTGCATGGCGGGCACTCTCTCTCTCTCTCTCTCTCTCTCTCTACAGCTTCACAAGAAGCCTGGGAGGTGGGTGTCCTTACATGGAGACCCTCAGACTCTGAAAGGTGCAATGATCCATGGGGGGTTTAAATTGAGAACAGCAGACTCCTTCCACCACTCTGCTGCCTGCATTAGAGAGACCATCCTGGAGCAGCGTAAAGCAATGCAGGGAGATGCTGGGGGATAAAGCTCAAAGGAGAAGCCTTTACTAGGAGACATGGCTCTGCATTGGAGTTTCATCCTCCCTGAACCCAGGAGAGAGTTGAATTTGGGGCTCCTTGTCAATGAGAAAAGAGGGGGGGAAAAACGAATGCTTTTTGCCCTGGAAAGAGAAAAAGTTCAGCAAAATCCAGAGTCATGTTTGCCATCTCTAACTGTAGCCCCAACTACCAGAATGTAACTTGTGGTTCCAGGGAGGTATTTTCCTAATCACCAGAGAAAATAGCATTTATCTTTTCATTTGCTGTTCCCTCCAAGAGGTCCAAAAATTCTTCTCTCAAACTCAAAAGGGAGAAATTCAGTTATTTTCTACTCTTTTGGTGATGTAGACGAGGTCAGTTTGTCTTCTTCCTTTAGCAGAACAGTTAGTGTCCTTGTTGTGACAGCTAGAGAAAGCCAAATAAAAAGATGTTTTTTCCAGAACAAGTGTGGAAAGAACGTTCTGGCCACCATGCCAGCCACTGCTTATTCATTCACTTGACAAACTTTTTTTGAGTAGTTGCTATGAGCAGGCACTCGCCTAGCCATTAGGACCACAAAAGATGAGTAAGACAGGGGCTCTATCCTCAAGAAGTTCACACTATGGTTAAGACCCAGACAAGGCAAAAAAGAATTCCAATATGATATGGCAAGAGCAAGGAGAATGAGAAAGGCCTGTGCACGACGCTTTCTAGGCCCCTGGGAGCTGGATGGCAGAGGTGGGCAGGGAAGGTTGGCAGGATAGTGTTGATATTGGTGATTAAACACCAGTCATGGTTATGTTTTCATGGAATGAATGACTGGAGGACTCTGCTTACCTTTTCAGGGGAAGTCTCTGGCTGCAGCCTGGGATGAGCTGAAGGCCACTCACTTTGCAGTTCTGAAGGGACCACTGGAAGGCTCTTGTATAAAATTCCTTCCGGGCCTCTGGGTCGGAGATTCTAGGGTATTTCATTCCTTTTAGGATAAAAGAAATCAGGCTTGAGACAGAGAGCAGCAGACCAGGGGACCAGCATGTCCACTAGAAGGTTCCTGGTTCTAATGGTCCCCAGCCAATGATTCCCTATGTGACTTGGGGAAAGCTCATTAACCACAGGCAGCTGCCTCAGCTTCCTGTTTGGAAAAGAAGGGATAAGCAGTGGGACTTCCTCTCCTGTGGCCAAAAGACTCGAAAATCATGCTGTTGTGTTGGGCCTCTGCTCGGTGGGAAGGAAAGAATAATACTTTGTTGAGCATGCTTAAAATGCCAGTGTGAAGAATGACTTTTGGAACAACTGAGATTAATGGAGATACAAATCACAAAATGTCTTAGCTTGATTTACATTAACGGAAAAGGCAGAAAGACACCTAGAAGGCAGTACATTCCAAAGATGAAAATTAAATCGTATATTAAAAATAAAACATAACAAATTTAGACACACACATTGTAGACACACAAGTCAATACCGCAGAAATTTATGCTTTCCATCTGACAAAGAGAACTTTTTAAAAAAAATTGTACCAAGCTATTGGATACCCAACAAGTAAGAAACTGAAATCTCCATGAATCTTAGATATGGGCAAGATTTCTTTCGAATCATAGCTAAAACTCTTCTCAGGTAGATGGGGGTCTGATAAGTGTCTTACCATTATAGTCACCCTTATTCCTCAGAGTTAGCTTTAAAAGAAAAAAAAGGGGTGCCTGGGTGGCTCAGTCAGTTAAGTGACTTCGGCTCAGGTCATGATCTCAGGGTCCTGGGATCGAGCCCCACATCGGGCTCCCTGCTTAGGGGGGAGCCTATTTCTCCCTGTCTCACTCCCCCTGCTTGTGTTCCCTCTCTCGCTGTGTCTCTCACTGTCAAATAAATAAATAAAATCTTAAAAAAAAAAGCAGAACACATAAAGGGGAGCATCCCTGTCAGGCTCAGGAGCAGAGTATTTGGGAACATTTCACCAAAGGATGGATGGCCAATATTCTCCCATGCTCTGACACAGACCACCTTTTTACAAGCATTTTCTGTTAAGCACCATCCAGCACTTTATGCTCCAACAAATACAGCAGGAGGTGAGACAACATTGTGTTAGGAAGTGATTCTGCAGTCAACTTTTGGAGTTTAAATCCTGGCTCCTTCCCTTTCCAATTGTGAGAATTTGGACAAATTACTAAACCTCCCTAAGCCTCAGTATCTCCACCTATGAAACAGGGATGGTGAATTTAAAACAGTACCTATCTCACAGGGTTGTGTGAAGATCATGTAAGTTACTGTATTCAGCCCAGATCTTGGCCCCATAAGTTCTCAATAAGTGTTGGCTGACAGTGATAACAAACCAAAGGGACAGGGGCGCCTCGTTGGCTCAGTCATTGCGCATCTGCCTTCGGCTCAGGTCATGACCCCAGGGTCCTGGGATCTAGCCCCGCATTGGGCTCCCCGCTCAGTGGGAAGCCTGCTTCTCCCTCTCCCACTCCCCCTGCTTGTGTTCTCTCTTTCGCTGTGTCTCTCTCTGTCAAATAAATCAATAAAATCTTTAAAAAAAAAAAAACAAAACAAAGGGACAAAGGTCATCAATTACTTCTATCTGCCATCTTTCCCTTCATCTTCCCCCCTTCCTCCCTCAAGGACAGAATTATTCTGATAACACTTTTTTCCTCTATGAGACCCTTCTTGAGCTCTGTTTCTCTAAACTCTCATAGCCCTTTGCCTGGCCTTTTTTTTTTTTTAAGATGTTATTTATTTATTTGACAGAGAGAGATAGCGAGAGCAGGAGCACAAGCAGGGGGAGTGGGAGAGGGAGAAGCAGGCTTCCCACGGAGCAGGGAGCCGGATGCGGGGCTCGATCCCAGGACCCTGGGGTCA